TAAGGGCTCCCATTCCTCAGCAATGTTAAGAGTGTCACAGATAATGAGGTCCAGAATCACAGGTGTCTGCCTTTCACCGACTATATGGAGGAGTAACCTATGCAGAAAGCAGCCCACCAAAGGCTACATTTTAAAGCCTAATGTTACAGCAAACAAACTGCTGATGGCTGACTCGAAAATGCTAGACTGCCAATTGCAGTAATTCAAGAGATGCTTCCCAAGCAGGCAAATACCAGGAGAACAGTAAAGAGCCAGTACAATATGCTACCAGTCAACGCAGTGCCAGTCACTCCCACTACTGTGCCACAAACAGTCATGTTTCACAAAGATAAAAAATCCCCCACAGTACTATTTTGTGGTTGAACGCAAGAGGTAACTCAGCCAGTGAAGTCTCCATTTTGCTTCAGGACAGTGCCCTGACAGGGGCAAATTCCTTCCAAATGTACATTGGCAGATCAAATTACACATTGGTGAGACACAATCTGCAGTTCAAAGAATAATTTTGATAAAACCATGCTGGGAACTGACTCATATGTTATTCTGAGAGCTTGCTACTGTACACATAGAATTAATTCTCAGCATACTGAAACTGCAAGCAAATACCATGATGCTGAAAATATTTTCACAACGTAAAGTACTTATGCACAGGTCCAATAATTACTTACAAAGTCCTAACAAAACCTTCAGGTCAGATACAAAATGGTTTTTTACTCTTTACTCTTAAAGAAAACTGATGTTCTGTGATATGTAACAATAACCCTAATCCCATTAAAATATGTTGCAAATTGTTTTAAACCAGTTTACCAACTCAAGACTTCAATCAAATGTGAAAATGGCAAGACAAATTAAAGAATGATTGCAAATGCAGGAGTGATTAATTGAAACTGTACACAAAGTATCTTTTTATGAAATACAATACTGTGTGATTTTGGGAGCAGCGTAAAAAAGGACACCTTATTATGCCAATAATATAAAAATATTTCAATTAACTATTTGTGTTGCAGGGAAAAAAAACAAAACAAAACCTGAGATGAACCAACACTGATCCAATCATGTTTTTCTTAAGGAAAAATACTTCACCGTCAATCAAGTTCAACAAACTGAGGTATGACATCCTACCTGCTCCTTTTTTACTTCAGAAAAACTTACACTGCTTTTCATCACATATGTCTGAACATTTAAGTTACTGTTAATTTTAAGAGAAACCAGTAGAAGTGGTTTATTCTGTTGGATAGGTATTAACCACACAATAAATGCAAGATACTGTATTAATAGATGTTCTTAGAATATTCTACCACTGACATGGAAATACCAAAGGAAAATGAGGGATGTCATTTTTATAACAGGCTACCATAACTGGAAAAAAAGTATTATATCACATTCACGTGAAAATGAAAAATAAAGCTTAAAAAAAAGTTACCTTGATTCTTACTCAGATATATGCTATACAGCATCATGCTGTACAGTCAACTGATAGCATTTGAAATCCAAGTTCCAAGATCTTCAGGAGCTTTGAACAGTTAATTTACTGCAAAAAGGGTGGTTTTTATAATCAAATTGTGCTAAGGCAAAACAGTGTAAGACAACATTCAGAGCTGCAGTTCTTTTATTAATGGAGCATCAACAGTCTAGAAGACTAAAGCTCTCTGTGTATTCATGGGAACACCACAATGACAGATTCATACAATGGTTTGGGTTGGAAGGGACCTTAAAAATCATCTAGTTCCAACCTCCCTGCCATGGACAGAGACACCTCCCACTAGACCAGGCTGCTTCAAGCCCCATCCAAACTGGCCTTGAACACAGCCAGGGAAGGGGCATCCACAGCTTCCCTGGGCAACCTGTTCCAGTGTCTCACCACCTTCACAGAAAAGAATTTCTTCCTAATGTCTGACCTCAGTCTGCCCTCTTCCAGTTTAAAGCCATTGCTTCAACTTGCCTTGGCTAATACTGCAAGATTAAGACAGAAAACATTAAGTAGGTCTACTATAAAGCACTACATCCTTTAGGCCGAATCCTTGTGCTCTGTCTGAATTTGTTCACACACTATAATAAACCTGAAGCTCCATTAACAATAGTAACAAAAATTGAAAATATAGACAAAAATATAAAACTTATCTCTTCAGATATGGCTAAGATCCAGCAGGATATAACCTCTCTCTAAAAGAATCACAGTTTAAAAGACTTGTTATCCTTTACAAAATCACACTGATTTATTTCTCTAGTTGATAAAACAGTAACATCTCAGAACACATCTGCTAATCAAACAGACATTTTCAGATTATTTACTGATAATGAGCAACTCAGGAACTATGAATTTTCAAAGCAGATGAGAAGGCAGAAATTCAAGCAATTTTAGAAATTTTTGCCCCCAGAAAGCACAAAAATCTGACAAAGACTATGCCTCTTAAACTTCAGGGAGGTAAATATTTGGAATAATCTGGAAACCTTAATAGCACATGGAAAAACAAAGACAAAATAGTAAAAATGTCACACAAAACCCGGGAGTCTGGTTAACTATGTTCTGTGGTCACAAGTTCTTTTTCAAAAGCATTGCCTGAAGAGTCAGAGCACTTTTCTAAAGAAAAAGCCTCAGAATCACATGATTGCTGTTGCAGATACAGCACAGATACAAGTATTGCACAATGCAGCTGCCATCCTGCTTTCACATGCACAGCTTTCTGTTACAATCATTCTGACCCCACAACTGTCTGCTGGTTCTCCAAACTCCATGACGCCTTAGGCTAAAACAGATTTTTCCCCCTTGCCGTGCAATATTTCGTTAGCAAATGCAAACATCCTCACTAAAATACTGCTCCTTCTCTTTTTTGGCATTTACAGGACAAATTCTTAAAAGGAACAACCAAAAACCCATTGTTTATACAAAGTACTAAAAAGTAATCTAAGTTGTAATTAGTAAAGGCATTTTTGACATGACATTTGGCCTATTCCGCAGAATTCTGAAAATTAAAAATTACAAAAATAGCTACATGAAAAAATAAAATCATCCCCATCTTTTCTTTCAGCTGTAGCAACAGATTGTTTTAGTAACAGCAATCTGTTCAGCAAATGAAAAGAAGAAATTACCAGGCATCAGAAGGTATTAAGAGTCACAAGGTGGTGAGTCACTATACAGTAAACCAAGCAAACTGACCAAGGATCTAATGGAGTCTTTATTTCTTGCATTCCTACAGGTGAAACCTTCAGAGAAGCAAGGTTTTCAACAGAACAGCTCCTCAGGTCTGCCTACACTACAAAAACCAAATTGGAAAGTCTGTGCATCTGCAGATAAACAGGGAACAAATTGTCATCTCCAGGGATAAAACAACAAACTAGGAGATTACCTTGCACCAGGATATTCATCCACTCTTTATTATAAGAAAACCATTCCTAGAAAAGCAGTCTGGAAAGAATTTGCCTAGAAAGTCTTTGGAATGTCCATTACTAGAGGCTTCTAAGAGCAAATCAGATAAATATTTGTGAAGAGTGATTAAGGTACAATTGATCCATCACACAGACCACTAAAGTCTATGACCTTTCAAGATAACTCCCACCCGTGGTTTTTTTCCCTTCCAAGTCACTGAGTTTTGACTGTTACTAAACTAACAGTTTCTAGTTTGGTAAACCCTTGAACTCCACATTTTCCTGTAGGACAGTGTGGTAGAAAACTGAAAATATTAAAAGTAGATGTAAATATTAAATTTTTTTCTGACATAACAATACATTGAATCTCAATTTTTTCTCTGTAAGTGCTATTAAAAAAAACCAAACCATGCACTTCTTGAATTTTTCTTGCAAGCAAGCACATATTACCTGACTTTTTTCTTTTTAGCAGACTCAGCTAACGTGATGTGAATATTTGCTGCAGTGATCAGGGCACTGCTCTTTCAAACTCATCTTAATTTGATTAGTGACAAAATTTTTCCACATAATGAAGTTTGGTACATTTTATTAGTAGCAATACAACCCCCTACACTTGAATGCCATTTTTTACTTGGTAGAGATGTAAATGAATCTTTATTACTATCATCCTTCTACTTAGATTATCCTGAGTTGACATTTTTACATTCCATACAGAAATCCTCCTGCCACCTGAGCATGGTGTATGCTGGACTTGTTCTTGGGTGTGACTGTGACAGGAAGTATCAAAAGCATTTGTGCAAGCACAAAGTATATCACAAAAGTAGTTTATCTCTCTAGAAATTTGAATTTTATTCTTGAAAAACTTGGTGTAGAATGGCATAGAGCATGACAGGGAAAGTTATATATTTTCTCAATTGTTCTTTAATTTCTGAATTGTTTTTCTTATTAAATCAAACCATTCAAGTTAGAGAGCTAGACTTAGATGAATTGGTCTTTGTAGTCTCTGGTTCTTCCCCCTTCAAGTCTCACTCAAACAATAGCCACAGTTTTGGCAAATACTCTCAGGAAACTTTTTTTAGGTGACATTATACCACAGGCACTTCGGAGACAAATTCATAGTTTTGAAATAATGCACTGGTAACAATTCTTTTGCTTGGTTCCTCAGTAATAGTTTCTCTCATCTTCAAGTGTAATTACATGAAGCAGTTAATATATCCAAAGAATCAACAAAGCTGTCTTCATATAATTCATTTGCTAAAGAAAAGCTATCAGATTCATGAAGTATGAAAGCTGAGCAACTACAAAAGATTGGGCTACTTTATACTGCCTGAAACACTGAAATATTTCTCATGTTCTAGTAAGCTCTGTATGCTGACTTTATATAAAGGAAACAAAGTTTTTAATGTATATTCTTATTTAAGGGAAAGCATCAACACTATTAAATGAGATGTAGTTGATTTAATTTATGAATGGTGTTTTAAAATATATACTCTGTAGACTAAGGAAAGGCATATACCTACCAGAGGTTCATTTTAGAGATTCTACAATTAAAACTAATTAATACAATAATTGATGATGGAACACATTTGATGTACACAAAAATGTCAATGAAATAAGGAAGGTGTCATTTTGATTACCTGACAAGAGCGAAACTGGTTGACTAGCAGTGTACATCTCTGTGGGTCTTTTCTTCCATCCAAACTGTCCAGTTCAGCTGCAACTTGATTTAGTTCCTCATCAGCATAGTAAAACTGAGCAAGGAGCTGAGGGTCTGTTCTCTGTATTTAAGACAAAGACATATAAAATATTACATCATTTTTGTAAATAAAAACATACTTCAGCTAATTCTTTTTACATATAAGGCAAATAAGTAGTGTGGCAGCATGAAAAAGAATTATCTTGAGATATTTACACACATCTGCAATTTTTTTCTACCTTGAAGAAAAAAATACCTCTCACATAGCAAACTTGGAGCATTACTCAGCTACCATTATCTTCAAAACCATCCTAGTGTTCTCACTACTTGTGGCATAATTAACTGGCAGAGCAAACAACTGAATCACAAGTTTTGTTTATTAAGCAAAAGTACCTTCAGTTCTAGGTAAAACAAGACAAAGTTGTTTTCCAAGTTAAATAAAAAAAAACTAATGCTCAAGTCTATCAAGCATGTGCAGTCCCTGCAACATGATGCACAGTCCTATATGGTCACCACGTTCTCATTAAAACAAAACAGCAATTAAAAGAGAAGAATAAAGGAATGCATCATCAAAACTATTGAGAATTATTATTAATAAAGTTTTACCCCATAAAAGGGTTTGTTTGGGATTTTTTTTAATATTAAGAACTGGAAATTCTGATCTTAGTTAATGTTTTCATCAAAATATTGGAAAAATAACAGAAAACAGGGATGATTACAGGGAAGTAGGAGATAAAAATTTGGACTGTGGGAGGAGGGAAGGAGTAGCTTTTTGTAGGTGCCAGTAACTTGGTGAAAAATTCATGGGCTGAGTTAAGCACAACCTCATATTATTCTAGTAAAGTAAAGTAATCAGTAAAACACACAGATTTGCAGGAGATGTGTACAAAATGAAAAAAGTTGGGTTTAATCACAGTGTAAGAAACATTAAGAATATACCAAATGTAGACTGGGAATTATAATTAGTTGTCAGTAGATGAAAGAAAAAACACCTGATACTACAGAAAACAAGCAACTGAAAATTATCTGAAATGGATTCTTAATGCCCTGAAGAATGAAACCATGCAAAAATACTTATAGAGGGGCCAGGGTATATACACAACAAGTAAAAATAAAGTTGCATGGAAGCAATTTAGAGACTCAAACATTGGCAGGGGTAGGGGAGGGGGAACAACAAAGGCAACACATCTAGGTAAGAAAAAAAAGTGTAAAAAGAAAATATTGCTTTTATAAACTGAAGCAATAGCAAAAACATAAAAATCAGCAATAAATACATCAGAGCAAAACATGTACCAACAGAAACAAGCGTATTACAGCACAGAAATGACATAGTACAGTGAACAGCAAAACAGAAGATAACATCATTTTGAAAGACATGAATACCACCAAATGCAACAAGTGGCAAAAGAAAAAAACACTGAGGATATACTAAGGAAGTATATGTTGTGAACTGTATCATTTTCTATCTGAAAGACAAAACAGGTCCACTATTATAAAAGGATCAAATACTAAATTTCTTGAGGGATGGGCATATGGAGGCAGCAGGATCAGAAGCACTGCTGTTAGCAAATCACAAGTTTAAAGCACTAATAGAGTTGATAAAGGTGTATTGGGAGGGCTGAATCTAAGGCTTGACATAAACCTAGTCCTGCAGCCAGAGTCCAGAAGACATGAGCCACTTGCGATAACAAAGACAGATGAGCAGCAAACTTCTACCAACAGCAACACATATTCAAAAGGGGTGAGAGCCCAGCAAACACCCATCAGGAACACTTGATAAAAAGCAGTTATTGTTGCGTCATACTTCCAAAAAGTCATTCAACACATAGTACCACAACATATTGTTCAAGTCTCTATTTTAGTCTCCACAAGATTTATATCCTGCAGAAAAATCCTTTTAAGCCCTCACAACACAACATTAAAACCTGCAAAGCTGTACAGGCCCTGAAAAGGAAGAACAGAATATTAACATCTTCTGAAGAGAATGATATACAACATCCTCCATGCTTGAAAGGACCAAGGAGTTTACTGCAAGTATTTTTATTGCTGCAAGACTCATCAAAAAAGATTTTTTTCTTAATATGTCCTCAGTGTTACATGCTGAAGTGGTTCTCAGAAATTTAATGAGACAACAACAATCCTCCCTGAATACAGAGGCACTGACTCCTGTACCTATGTTACCATAAAACTTGGTTGCTGCAAGAACACTCTAACACTTGTCTTTAAGTTTTAGAAGGCAGGCATTTTTTATTGCAGCGCTGGATGCATGAGAGACAGTTCTCAACGTTCTGTATTCCCTAAGTGACAGCAGACAAGACTTAGATTGTCCTACTAGATACATATGCATCAAATTTCCTGGAATTCATTGTAGTATTTGCTTTTTCATTATCCATGCACTTTAAGCCTCTCAGGTGGGTGTCTTCCACAGTGTTCCTCTTGGGGGGGGGAGCATTCTGAGATGTCTTTTGATGAATCCCTTCTCCAACACATGCACAATGTTGGGCACCAAGTCTAGCTGCTCTCAGTCAATTTCCAACTGCAAGGCCCCAGTTCCTTGAGGCTGTTATCTATTTACATGCAGAAGGCCTGGGGTGAGCCCAAATCAACATCTATTGTCACAAAGCACATTGTTTCACAAAGTGTAATTTCACTTCAGCATCTTTCTACTAAAAATACAATAAAATAGCCTAATTTAGTTCTAATGTTTTGCATTTACAAAGTAAGGATTAGTAAATTTCTTTCAGCGCTTTGCCCACCCAATTATTTTTATTTCTGATTTTTACATTTTCCTTCAGCATTCATCTACATTCATTAAAACTTTGCAGTTGTTCATGAAAGATGAAGGAGTTCACATGTGAAATTGTGACAAACCATGACTGCTGCTTTATAAGCATCTAAATTGCACTGCAGAAGCAAAATATGGCAATTTTATTAAGACTGGTACCAAACAAAACAAGAAAGGCTGAGATATTTAGCTCCCATGTGGCTGATCTTTTAAATTGGAGGAAGAAAAGTTTTAATTGAGTTTTCTCAACTGTGTTATGTTTGGTGCAGATTAGTAGTGTGATCTTTGATTAATTGTGTCAATCATATGTGGTCCTGGCAAGCCAGAGCTGCATGAAACTCTAAACCCTTAGCAGGGGGCTTTTTAAAGCCAATAACCACAACCTTCTAAATTAAATTTGTTCCATTTGGTATCAGAAAATAAAAGACAGCACCACGTTCCATGCCAATTTTTACTTACTGTTGATGAAAAATATGGTTCAAATAATTCCATCTGAATTACATACTCTTTGGCAGAATACAAGTCAGTAATCCCCATACTCAGCTGCTCAAATTAAAATAAAAACTTCATTTGAAAGCACCCGACAGAGAACCTACCACCCGGTAGCTTGTTGCAGGAATTAATAACATTTACCATCAAATTAATGCATCTAATCCCTTGTTTCAGTTTGCTGGACTTCAGCTTCTAGCCACTGCTCGTGTCAGGCCTTTTCCCACTGAAGTACTGAGTACACATGTTACTTCTCTTCTTTGGGGGAAGCACTACTATCCAGAGTGCAGTCACCCTTCTTACCATCTCACCATTGTAGTTTGCACATATGGTTTGAGGGTTTGGTGTGGAATTTTTGTTTGGTTGGTTTTGGGAGGGGTTTGTGTGTGATGGTATTGTTTTTGTTTTAAATCTATTAACATCCCACACCCTCCTGAGTGTGAGCTATCCAGGTAGGAGTGCAGACCCTACACGCTTGCTTACCTTTCTTTACATGACACATTTGGAAGGATTCCATCCACCAAATGGTCCAGGTTATTTTGCACAGCTATATTTACAGTGCATAATTTACCACACCCCCTGCAGCACATCCTCCACAGTTTTGGAATAATCACTTCATACGTGGATCATAGCTCATTACACAGATTTGTGTGATAATACATGGACTATCACTGCAGTCAGTACAAAGACTGAGGCTTTGAGCTGGGGTTGTTCAGCCTGGAGAAGAGGAGACTCAGGGGGGACCTTATCACTCTCTTCAACTACTTGAAGGGAGGTTGTAGTCAGGTGGGGACTGGCCTGTTGAGAAATAGAGTGTGTCTGGGTGAGTACCTGGTGACCAGCCAAGGTCAACCCACCACACTGAACTTGTAAAACACTTACAAAAGCCTCCTCCAGCAGCTAATCTCCCTGAGTTTGACCTTAAGACAATCACATTTCACTCTCAGCTGCTGCAAGAACATTAAGTTTAAATACAAGTATTTGCGTAGAAACTGCAAATTCAGCTTGTTGACATATATTTTGAAATTAACAAATCACTCTTTAAATGTTTTAAACAGCTTGCTTCATACTTGTCTAGATTTTTCTATTTAAACTCAAAGATTACACTAAGTAGCTCTTCAAATAAAACAGATTCTGTAGTCTTTTTAGTGATTTGTTACCTATCATGAGGAAAACAGCCAATTTAGCTCCCTGGGCTTGTTGAGTGATGATATTCAATTGCAGATCTACAGCCCTCCTTCACACAAAGGAGTGTTGCGACACTTGGATGAAGCACCCAACTATTTTTCCTCCAATAATGCAAGCCCTCCGCTTTGCTACGCTGCACATCTTCACAATTTTCTGCATTAGAGAACTTTTCGACCTGCTATAAGTTATAACATGTTTTATGGATGTGTCTAAATATTTATAACAATTCCTAAACATTGAAGCAGACAATACTCTCTTCTTGGACATGTCCTCAATGTCTTCCTAATTATTAGTTTGTTATACTCTTTTTTCCTTTCAGAATCAGACTTCTATTTGAAAATAAAAACCGAACACAACCAACAACAAGTAAAAAAACCTAACAAAAACCTCAGAAAACCACTTTGTGCCTTTGAAGGATTGCTCTGCAGCATCTTTTCAGCTCTATCTTGTTTTAGCATGCACATATCCTAATAGGATTTTGTCCTCCTCCCAGGTCTGTAGTTCCAGCATTTGGCTCACACTTAGCAGATCTGGTAAAATGCCAGTTTTGCCTTGCTGTTCAGTACCAACCTGTTCTGAACAATCTGCCATATACAGCATTTTAGTTCTGGATC